GCCTTATACATTTTGAAGTATCCGTCCCGATCTAAAAGAGTTTCAGTACGCCGCCCGATTGGTGTGGAGATCGCTTCTTTGCGCCGGCGCGCCCGCGTGGCCGGGGACGGACTCCTCCGAGGCGCGGCGAGCAAGTATTTGAACAGCGGGCATCCTTCGCGCCATTTGCTTGATGTAGTCCCCGTTTCCGCCACGTCCTGGGCCGTGTAGCGTGGGTGTTGGTTAGCCATTAAGGATTCCGTTCCAGGATGATTTGAGCGATTTGGGTTTACCCTTTCACGAGTAAACGACCCATTTAAACTTTTTTCAATTTGTTTTCTACTTCATTCTTAATTTGGTGATCGTTATATAAATATAAATTGCCTTCCACGTCTTTTGGAATTTTGATGTTTTGTGAAATATTTGAAATGCATTCGCACATCACATTAACCATTACATTCTCCCCATACGCTGTCTTCCCTACTTCACGTTACTTTGCTTCATACTGATAATTAGATTTCTTTCATATTTCCTTCGGTCCTTTTCTTACAATTAGTTTTAGAGTGAGACGAATTCAATATCTTATACTTAGATTGATATATATTCCTAATATTTCTGTAGGGTATTTTTTATTTTAATATCCTTTCCGCATATCATGACTTCCTGGAATAAAAAAATAGCATAATGTTGTTGTAATGTTCTACAAAAATGATAGTTATTATCATTGTACAATGCATCTTTTCATTTTCTGTTTACGATGAATAATAACGGAAAACATTAATTTCTAATTTGTAGAAAGTACACTATATTTCCTCATTTACAAAGTCTCTATTTCTTTCTCTCATTGCTCAATGCACGCAATTGTTGTCGTTGAACATCGGGAATCTCCACGTACTTACTGTTTTATAGCATAGCATCTTCTAGGTAATCTTACTTAATTTGTATTTACAGGAGAAACGTATAAAATACATACTGTGCACGTATTAAAATTTTAATTAGCTGCGTCTGTCATCGAGATTCTTTCCCTTCGTCACTCAACGTGATGGCACCACGCGTGCCGTATCGGTTTGAGTGACAGTTACTGCTGTTCCATTGATTGTTGTTTCGGGACACGTCCACTGCTATGGCCATTTTTTCTGTTAGTGTAGATAATTTACCTCAGCAGGAGGCGGTGTTCTCGCCCCACTGAAAGACAAGATCCGGTACCGATCCACACGTTGACTTGAGCGGGGGTTCACCTCAAGGTATCTCCTCCACCGGAGCACCGCCAGAGTCGGGACACGCTCTAAGCTGACGTGTCTCCCAATGTGTGACAGTGAAGTGCATGCTAGTGTAAATGTGAGCGGAGAGGATAGGACAAGGAAAATACAGAAAAGATAGCGTGCGATTCGTGGCCTGTTTGTTAGGGTACTACTTCGGTATTCGCCTGGTATTGAGCGGCTGAATTCGGCCTAGCTCTCTAGCTGGTGTCGAAGATCTTCCTCGGGGCTTGAACCCTAGGACCCCCCCCCCGCCCCAGTGAAATCACTGCTGAAGCAGTGTCAATAGTGGCTCTGTGCTAAACTTAGTCGGGTCGCTATTCGAGAGCGAATCTGTTATGGCATCAGTTGGTCGATGAATAGACACAAGAAGCCACGCCTCTAAAGCCCGTAGAGAGAATTTGTTGCCATGTGCCTTCAAATAGACAAGTCAAGAAAGGCCATTTTCAACGCGGTTCTCCAGCAATGATGGCCGTAGTGCGGCTCGTCTATCATTCTTACAGGTTCTACAGCTCTCCTGAGGTTATTTCAAAACAGCTCATCTGACGCTAAACTCAACACGATGTATTTCTGTTTAAAGATAGTTTTCATAACTATGATAACCTATTCGTGCGAACATTATATTCAAGGATGACGTTTATTAAATCTAAACATCGTGCAGATATAATAGATATTCTAATTCTTCTCTAATTCATGTACATTTAACTGATTTTGTGTTAACTTCCTTAACTAACCACCTGACAGATTTCGAGCAAGTAGATGCCCAATTGTACTACTGAAAAAGTGTATATTAAAAAAAGACTTTAATTTAAATGCTTTGTGGGGTTCATTAATAGTGAGTGAATGTTTTAGTTTGTTACTAAATATATTTTTTCGTATTCAGATTTTTCTCATTAATCATTAAACCTCTGAAAAATAAGAGCGTATCTTTCCAAATTCTCCTCTCAAGATCATGGCTCCCAACACTATGTTTTCTGACTCGACCTTAGGAATGAAGGATACAAGTTTATTGACAGATTTGCTCAAATTTTCGGTTTCGTCTGTGGGGTTTATTGAAAAAATTCAAGTCGCAATAAATCGACCACTGTAATTTTTAACCAGATACTGATCTCATTCAATTCACGTAAATCGATAATCATCGAATTTTCTCAACTCCTTCGATCGTCAGGTGTAGATCATAGCTATTAAGTAGCGACTGCGGACTACTTAATACCCAAAAGATGATATGGAAAATGTATAAAATAAGTTCAGTGTCCTAGAACCAGATAATTCTTATGGACAAGAGCGAGCAGAAAGAGAACCGTAAGCAAGAAAAAAGAACAAATGATGCACTTTTTCATTCATGAGGAATGTGATGGAGAAAACGGAACAAGATAGAGAAAATGAAGTACCAGACAGTTAAGGAAGGAGGTATTTGGAAAGGGTATGAGAGGATATTTTAATGTCAACATTGTTGGGCAAATAATTGGAAACAATTACATATACTTTGGAGTAATGCGGTCCCCAAACACAAGTTGAACAACTGCGAATGTCCCGAGGCTAGAACAGGGAGAAGCCTTATTGGTACATGTGGCTTAGTATTTTCAAACTCCCGCGTATTCATTCGAGCTGCAGAATGGGCGGATAATTGGCATGAGGGCTCTTCTTTTGCGAAACTCCTGGAGAACGACCTTTCCTTCGGGGCGGAGTGCGCGTTGTCGGAGCGAGGGTCCCTCTCACGACAGTTGCGTAACGTGCGTGCAACGAGGCTCGCATTAAAGACATCCTGGATGAAATAGGGACCCGCGAAAGAATTATCCTGTTAACTCTATAATGAGTCACGTCAAACATTCCTAGCTGGGCCTTTTTTTTCAGGACAGGGGTTGCGGGAAACTCCCAACACGAGTGCATTATAAAGTTGGGAGTATGCAGCGAAAGTGACTTTCAATTTGAACCATCAATTTTGCTGTTTTCTTTGTGTATAATATGGATACTCGCGTACTCTTATGAATCCTTTTAAACTTCGATAAACATTTCATAGTTCTTTCTGAAGAAATACTTATCATAGTTAAATACGGTCGCCTTAAAAATAATACTGCTAAACTGTGAATGTTTTTACTTTATCAATTCTAGTTTTTCTAGAATATAGAAAATGTAAAATTAGTATTTAAGGTTCGTTTGTTTGTGCTATTAAATAAAATCTAATTATACCTTTTTTCTATATACTTGCCTGCTATTGTTCCCTCTACGTATTGACAGACTTCTCATTTAGTAATAGACACTTTTCTTTTGAGAGCTTAAGACTGATATGAGGATTTAATGACCCTTAGTAACGATTAAGGGTGAATACATTCTTTACATTTATCTTCTGTGCTCTTTAGAAATATATTGTTTGTACTATTGCACTTTTTCTGCAGCATAGCAGTTAAAGGTAGAGTGCAAGAAAAATTGAGAAAATTTCTTCTTAGACTTATAATATGTTGATTAGGATAAGCTTTTCAGAGTGTGTCAAGTACCCCCGAAAATCAGAACGATCATAATCCACATTTCGCGTCGTTAGTTGGACAAAAACACAACAATCAACTTTCTTGAAAAGGGCTAAAATCGATAGTACTTCGAAGTAAATAATCCACAGCACAAAAAAATGTGCTTGAGAACACGGTCGGAAGTAGGTACGATGTATCGACGTCCAGAAATTAGCCGCCCGGGGTATCTCCATTCGCGATTCATCAAGCTTATAAATAAATGTCTTTAGTGTTCTCTGCATTCTGAAATTTGACTGTGTCGAAATGAAACACTCTAGCGCAGGTATGTCGTTCTCTAGTAACACAAATTCATGCAGATATTTCCCAAAATTATACTGATTAAATCAATTATTTTAACACTATGCTTCAGTTAGAAGGATTTTGCATGATTCACAGTTTGTGTAACTCCACAAAAATAAACTCCCTTTTTTTGCTTTCATAAGTGTCCTGACTCGTTACAATATATTTCCTCTTTGCGCACGTACTATATTTCGTGCAACTATCCGCAAGTTTGTGAGATCCGCTCTTCTTTTGTAGGAACTGCACTCTCGCGCGGCGTTATCACCTGGCGAAAATTGTTCGGGTTCGTGTGTAGAGGAATGTGCAGTAAGAATGTATTGACAGAAAGAAATAAAGATAATTTATTTAATTACATCATGCCGCACTTGGGGCTTGAAATCTCGAACTCAATTCCTACGAAATTCTGGACATTCTGTTATAGTATCACAAAACGATGGAATATGATCGTATAGCAACAAAGCTGTCAACTATAATATCTGTTTAAAGTTTAAGCAATTGTTATAAATTGTCTATTTACTTTTATCTTCCCATTCTGTTTCCTCGAAAAATTTTACAGTTGCTGGAAAAAAATCAATTCTGAAAATTTTCTCACCTAATATTGTTAGAGTCCAACAGTAAGAATTGTAATTATTCATACTTCTGTTTATTTTGACTGATGTCCTAAGTGTCGGAGCCAAATTTCGCTTGACCTCGAGATTACGAGAAATGATTTTTGTCCACCTAGCGATGCAAACTTGGCGATTGTGCGTCGCCGTCCCAGCAACCCGCCTCTAAGCCAACGTGCCTGTTCTTCCATTTTTTCAGTAGCGTAGCAGTTGAAAATAGGCTGCAAGCACGAGCTTGTAATGTTGTGATTGGGGTATGCGTTTCTAAGTGGGGCAAACAGCACCGAACGCAGAGGGGGCGGGGCTCTCCGCCCAGCGACTCTCTCCAAGCCAGCGTCTCCGTCCTTGTGCAGGCACGCCGCCGCTGACGGGCTCCGGCACGGTGCGCGTGGTGGTGCAGGACGTGAACGACCACAGCCCGGAGTTCGAGCGGCAGGCGTACGAAGGCGTGGTGCGCGAGAACCTGCCCGCGGGCACCAGCGTGCTGCAACCCCGCGCGCGCGACCGCGACGCCGGCCTCAACGCGCGCGTGCGCTACAGCCTGCTGGG